GACCAGAAGATGAGTGTGTACCTAAATATTTGCAATGTACTTTGTCCGCAGCAAATGTTGATGCAGTTCAATTTTATGTTTAAGTATTTAAATGTGAATATTTATTTATTAAAGCTCTTTAAATTGAAATACTCGTGAAATCGTTTATTGTAAATAAATATTCGAAAAAAGTTGCAAATTTTTATATAATTACTAGTAAGACTTGAAAAATGAAAAAATAATAGATATCTCTTACCACAAAAGCTGAAATTTGGTAATACAATATCTCACTTAATAAGTTAAATGAGAAAATGCTCAGCTTTATATTTAGTGATTGAAAAGTGCTGAGCTGATAAAGTTAAAGATGCAATGCGCCCGCGCGCATAGCGATGTGCTGCACTTTCAACTCGTCAACTGAGCGCTTATACACCTCAAAAACTTCAGCGGACATTTTTTTTCGTATAACTGATTAAGATGACTATTACTTTACCAAATTTCAGCTTTTTCGGTATCAGTTTACCTAGCGCATATTTTTGACTTGTTTAGGTGAAAAGCTGAGGCATAACCCCCCACTCTAAAGTCAGCTGATCACGTTTTTTCGTTTGTTTATAACATAATTAACTTGTCGACAAAGTCTCAGCTTTTGCGGTATTAGTTTTTTTTATTTTATTATTTTACGTGTTAGGGAGACTGCTGCAGCTACACCCCCCGGAATTGCGCGAGCTGGAGGTCGATTTACTTACTAGTGATACCAAATGAAGCGTAGGAAAAATTTTCAGCTTTTGCCAAATGACTAACTCAAAACGGTCGCTGGCTCCCAGGCTAATATATGTACAGTGTGAAACGGATTGAAGCGGTGCTACTATGTTAGTTTATGCAATGCTACGCTAATCTATGTGTAATATAAAAACTTTACTCCATCTACCGACGTTGCATATTGCGTTATGTTCTGTCATACCTGTGTGTCTAATTCATAGGTTATGAGGAGAAAGGAATTCTTTAGGTTTGAACTTAATGAAAGATTCGAACGAATAATACCCTTTTGCTGTAAAGGAAATAAAGCAGTAGCTGTAGCTGAAATCGTATCAAATATGATTGTAGGATTCATAGAATGAATATGGGGTGTTTAAGGATAAACTTTGGCAAAGCTGGTCTAAACTATACACGTATCCCATTTTTAGCGATACACATGAATATCTCATCATTAAATCCTCCGATCCAAAAATGACTTACATGAAAGTTGTTCAGTTCATTGGAGAAAAGCAATTTCTGACCTTAAATTTGACCTTAACCGTGACCTTGAAGGTCAATTGAAGGTCAGCTTCAAATTCAAATGATTCGTCGACTACAAAAATCGACCTTGATGACCTCTACAAATGTTTTTCAGGATGTTCGGGACCATGGATCGGTGATCTTGGATTTAATCTGGAAGGTCTTTTGAAGGTTGACTTTGTTAGATTTTATATGGGTACCTGTACTCCTGAGGCTGGATCCTGGAAAAGCGGTAAATTCTACACCCGAGTGCGTTGTAAAGTAATAAAAGGTCAAATTAAAAGTTAATTTGAAGATTAAATCAAGAGTTAACTCTGGAGTAGTAACGAAATAACCTCGTAATGCAATGGTCCACAAATAGCAGTGCAATATTTTTAATTTTTTTTTTCAATTTCAATTCTCAAGCAAAGTTATGCCTTTGTTGAGTCATGATTGAGTAACTTGATAAAAATTCCATCTACTCTGGGGGCAAACATCTTATTCCGAGGTTGCTTCAGAAGTGACGAGTCATTTCAACTTGCTGTGACCTTGACCTTAACCGCAAGATCAAAATTGAGATTACATCCAGATGTAAATTTTTTTGCAAAATCCATTCCCAGGGTAAAATATAGAGGGTCTTATTTAAAGCTATGGAGATAACCTTCAACTAACCTTTAAGCTCACGGTTAAAGTTAAAGGTCAAAGTCAGCAACTGCTTTCCCTCAATGAATTGAGCAACTGAACATTCACATGTATTGACTAAAATGGGACACGTGGTATAACCTAGCTTGGGTAAACAAATTCCTTTTTGGTTATTACGCCTGCTTAGGCATTTTGACGTTTGGAATGATATATCGCCATATATCTGATTGCACTAGTGCAAGACTTGCAGTCATTAGTCATTAGTCGTTTGATTTTTATGTAAAAATCAAGGATCAGAAATGCATTAGAATTGAATTGATCAGATATTAGTAGAAACAATGAAAAATGTAATACTCTAATGAAGTTATCCGTTTTTGTTCATATCTACGAAAGATAGAAGAAACAAGACGACAAATTTTAAATTTCAACAAGCCTGGTGAAATAAAGTAAACGCAATACAAAAGACAAAAAATTGCATCCATTGTTTCCTAGCAAAGAGCAGTACGGGATGGATGGTCAGCACAACACGACACAGTGCAGCGTTCGGTACGCAGCTGGTTTAATTTTTATTAGTTGTGCATACGAGGTCTGTTCAGAAAATAACCGAACTTTTTGAATTACGCGCTACTGGAGGTATTAACTGATTGGCAAAGAATCTTCACTCCCCAAGAAAGCACGTCAGTCTCGATCCGATGTCAAAGTGATGCTCATTGTGTTTTTCGACTTTAATCAAATTGTGCATTTCGAATTCTTGCCTCAAGGTGAAACAGTGACCGTGTGTACCTACTATCAAGGCGTTTTACAACGGTTACGTCACAAAATCCGCAAAACAAGACCAGAATTGTGGCGATACAGCTCATGGTTCTTGCACCACGACAATGCACCAGCGCATTCAGCTTTGTCAATTCGTCAGTTTTATGCCAAAAATCAGATTACTGTTCTCTCTCATCCTTCTTACTCGCCAAACTGGCTCCTTGCATTTTCTTCTTATTTCCGAAACTAAAATCAGTTCCGAAAGAACGCGGTTCTCAGACCATTAATGACATCATAGCAAATTCGTCACAGACTAAGGCCATTTCAAATGAAGCTATCCAGTACTGCGTCGCGAAATGAAAACGCCGCTGGGAAAAGTGTGTGAATAGGGGAGGATGGTACTTTGATGGAGACAAGGATCAATAAAGTTCGTTTTTTTTCTGAACAGACCTTGTATATCCTTCACACTGCTTAACCGTCTATTTCATGAACTCGTGTGTATTTTCCATGTCCTGGTGACAAAACTTAGCAGCACTATGTTTCTTATCATTTCTGTTGTAGATAATTGATAATTAAAAACGTAAAATAGTCATATTAGTGGAAAAGTAGGTACTCTTATTACGTCCCACATTAATCTAGTAATAATATTAACCTGAATGAAAATAGGTTTGTTCAAAGAACTGTTAGAAACTATAAAAAAATATATAGTTACTTCTGGACTTTCAATGAATATAAGTATAACAGTCGAGTGGCCAAATAAATAACATATTTTAACTAAAACAAACATGTTATCACTAATACTCTTTCTACTTTCCATATATCGATTAATTATTATTATAATAATTTTATTTATTTGATCTTTTTTTTCTTCGAGTTATCGTTATTCAAAATAGTTTTGTATAACCAAGAATTTCACACCAAAAAAATAGACAAAAACAAAATACACAATGTTTCTTGTCCGACCTTTTTGGTGCAATTATATTTTTTCCACAGGTGGTAAAATACCCAATAAATAAAAAAATAAAACTACAAAGTGTTCCGAAATTCATATGAAATAGTGAAACACGTAATTTTTCTCAAGATTTCAAAAGTAAAAGTCTATATGGCAATGACTTTTACAATATATTCCTTTTAATGATGTTCCTTTTTAGCAAGTTTCTTAGCTACTACAAATTTGTTGAGTACTACAAAGTTGATCTTGCAAGAAGATCAAAAATGTGATTTAGGCACGAAATCATTTGAAAACTTAAGGCTATCTTCGAAATTGTTAAATGTTACAAACTGATTCACAATATTAACGACAATTTTAAACGTATTGGATGAGCCATCAGGTATCAGAATATGCATTAATGTTGAAAGAAGAGACAATTGAATCTGCCCCTTTAGAAAATGGTATTTTGTTTAATTCGTTTAACGTTACTTATAAATTGTTTAAATTTGTGTAATCTGTTTAATATTTATTTTAATGTGTAATTTCTTTTAACTGGAATTGTAAAAGACATTTTTTAACGAATACATACAGATAAAAATCGTATATCTTGGGCGAGTGCCCGGGATTTGCGTAGTAGAATGGCGCTCCTGGGGACACCTTATTTGGAACCCAAGGAACTGAGAGAAGTGTCAGCAAGGAAGCTTTTAGACTTTGTCGAAAGGACAAAACTACTTGCTGAATCGGGGTCGCACATTAGACCTAATTAGGCCGCGGTGCTATGGGACTTATTAGGACCAACCACTAGGAAGAAGAAGAAAATCGTATACGTTCTTAGCTTATATAATTTTTATACACATATTTTTATTTTTTATAGAAAAATAACTCAAGTAAAAGAATCGTGTCAGAAATTTATAAGAGGAAAAAATATATCAAAAACAACGAGCATTTTAATAAGTACCTATGTCATATAAAAGTCATTGGCTCACACAAAAATAATATTAAGGGAGGTGGGAGGCAACGTATTCCATAAAAGACAACGCCCTGTAGATTGAACGGATTGCCGTAGAGCATGTTAAAAAATATCTGAATCTACCTCATTTAAAAGAAAACCTTTAAGAGACATGAAATATATTTTAAATCATCAGCATCCCGTATCTCGAAAACGAAGGTACTTCGCCGAAACTCCCTATAGATTCATCGCAAAATTTTATGAAAACAACTGTTTTAGTTTTTCAGATAAACACCCATTTCGCCCTTCCACAAATAAGAAGTGGATCTTATTTGTGGAAGGGCGAAACGGGCGGTGACTATGAGAGGCCTTCATTATAACCATCCTTCACTATCACATGGAATTCTATGGCTTACTTTATCGCTCTCACGTAACTTCAGATAGACCATCGGTACTTTGCTACCCTGTACATTAATGTTACTATTACATCCGTAGGTGGTGATAGAACACGAAGATGAAGACGAAGACGAAGTGCCGCCTTGTGGACCAATTCGAATTCGCAACCTAGAGGACCTGATCCGACAATTGGAGCACCATTCCAGGCATATGAGCCCCAGCGGTTCTGAAGATATCAGAATGTCCGAAACCGAAGCAGATCGCCACTATCGACAAGAATCCTCCTCGGCCTGCAGCGAAAGCTCTCACCAATCTCATAGAGACTCTCGGTTTGTCTATGGACGGTACAGACAACCTCCAGGACGATTGCCCTACCCTCATCCACATTCACACCACCAGGCTGAGGAGGAAAGCATCTACGAGAGCGCCGATCATGACAGAGGGGCGCCATGTGGTGATACACCTGACAGCGAAAGGTATGTCATCGTGATTTATAAAAGTATAATCAAATGTCACTATTTCACTTATCGACTCATAACCGACTCTCAAAAAATCCATTGGATCACAGGATCTTGAATCAATCATTGGAATAGTCTTTGTTACCTTTAATAATGTTATATGTGAATGAAATGAAATGCAAATACTATAGAATCATTTAATACATTGCATCAGCAACTAATACAATATAAATACAGGGAAAAGTACCTGTAATGAAAAATTTTAAATTTAGATCTGCATTTATGAACAAAGTGTAACTAAAATATTTGGCTAAACTTAAAGGGCCAATTTTACTTTACACAAAAAGGGTTCCTATATATACTTGTCTCCGGAAACGTTTCGTTTTTGCGACACACGGTGTTAAAGTTTAAGAAAAAATTATATATCCGTAATTTATTCAACAGGATGTACATTTAATTTCTGATTTGAACTTCATAAAAATGTATTTCTGGTGTATGGTGCTATAACACCGTTTTCGAGATAAATGATAAAATTTTAAATCATTTCCGGATAAGTAATGTACGTAAGCATGTATGAACATATCAAAATATTTTTAAATACAAATAATAATTCAAATAATCGTGATATCTATGACTGAATTATTTACATGACTTCCCTTTATTCTATCTTGCAACTTGAAATAAATCACACATTTTCATCAATTTTTAATACACTGTATATCAAAAACGAAATGTTTCCGGTTTTAAGAACTTTTTTGTTAATTTGTGTGTCCCTCAAAGTTTAACTAGGCAAATTGATTACACGCTGTATAAAATATTTAATAATTTTTGGTACTCCGGAAGTCAACACCAACTTTCCTATTTTAAAATGGAAATATTCATTAATTTACCAGGTGTTGCATACGAAAATATAAGTTCTATAATACACTACTGGCAAAAATTAAGAGAACCAACATATTTCATAAATTTTTTAGTGATTTTTGAAAAGTTGTATCTCAGTGAAAAATGGTCGTAAGAAGATAAAAAATCGTTTTGAAACTCTAAGTCTCTATCGAGGAATCAAAAGGAATACCTCAAGAAAACAATTTTTAATTTTTTTTTTTTGGACTGTCCACGAACTCGGGAATTTTTTTCAAACTCAATCAATATGGGGGTCAGTTAGCTTGTTTAGTTAGCTTCAATCTGCTTTTTGAAAAGTCTCCTTACTATTGGTTACCAAGATATTGAAAGTTGAATGAAAAAACACTTTTGTCTTTGATCATCGATATCTCAGCAACAAATTATTACACAATAAATCCAGGGGCGGTTTTGAAAACTTTGAATAAATCCTTCTATCATGGTTTTCGAAGAAAAACATTTTTTTTTCAGCCTCAAGATTAATTTGAATAAGATGAAAAAAAATACTTTTTACGGTTTTTTAGAAAATTTACCACTAATTTACAAATATTGATGAAAAGACTAATGTTGAAAGAATTTTTTTACAGCTCAATGTATCCACAATAACCCTGTAAATTGACAATGACAAGTTGATCCATCCAACCGTTTTTCTGTTCCAAATAGTCAAATCTGGATTCTTAATTTACCACTTAAATTTAAGAAAAAGTCCGTGGACAGTCCAAAAAAAATTTTTCGGAGTATTTCTTTTGATTCCTCGATAATAATAGCCCAAAAAAAATTTGTAAAACTATCTTGAAACTAGAGACTTAAAGCTTCAGAACTGTTTTTTTTTCTATCTCGACACGACCATTTTGCATTGAGATACAACCTTTCAAAGACCACTAAAGAACTTATGAAATATTTTTGTTCACTTAATTTTTTCCTGTACTTGTGTAGTTTATTTTAACTTGTATTTAAATGTCTGTCTTATAAAAGTAAGTACTATTCAAAAACATCGGAAGAACCAAAAACTTGCAGAATATATGTTGTGTTAGTCCCACCGATTAGTTAAATTTTAATATTCTTTCTACAAGTTATTTTTATTAAACCGATCGATTTTGTTACTCATGAGACAGGCATAAAACATTAATAAATAACATTTATTGTCTTTTTGACACGCTAATTTGTATTTTTCTCTTACTCCTAAATGACATTTTATACTACCTAGACACTGGGCCTTTTTTGAAAAACATTTCGTCTTTTTCTTGTAAATATATTTTATTATACTACCTACTTATTTTCTTTAGCAAAGAGTTTTGACTCGTTTGCTTTTTAAAATTAAGGAGGAAAAAATTTATACTTTTTTAATTAAAGATCACAGTTGTAGAAACCATATTTGATCCTTTACGTTGGTAAAATAGTTAAAAGTAGTTTTTCCAAAAAACATTATTAAAAAATCACAACAAGGTACTGCCAACTAAATCAGTATAATTGGTTCAGCAAGTATATAGCCATTTTAAATATATATAAATATAAGCATGGTGGTAATATCCTTATTCTTGTGAGCCACACTTTAGACATTAACCGTTGTTCGTGATTTCACAAAAAGAGACAATACCACATCATCAGTTAAAGCTTTCAATAAAAGACTACCACAGTTAAATAAATACCAATAGACAAACTAACAATAAGACGTTGGAATAAATAACATACCTATACACCGTGTCCACCTAGTGCGCGTAAGTCCGATATCTAGGTTAATAAAAGATATAACTTATTTTTTTCCGCGCAAATCCGGTATTTTACATAAAAATGGGCTTTTTGCAAAAACTACGCAACTGAGGTAAAGGGAAAGCTATTAAAAAATTGTAGGGTCTACAGAAAGGCATCTAATGAAATCATAAAACACAGGGTGTTCTATTTGAAAAAGTCGAGATTTTTCAAATTTTAAATTATCAGGTTTGGCACGATTTTTTTTTGCCCCCTGTATATCGCAGATCAACTTTTGATACGTTTTTTGAAAGAGCCATCTTCACTCTACAGTTCCTGAAAAAAAAATATCTCCTAATCCATGCATATTTCGTCGAAAGCTATTCTATACTTTTTAAGAGCATCAAATTTGTGACAAATTAAGCCCAATCGGAGCTCTGTAGGTCAATTGGTTACCGAATTACGGCACTTTGAAAATAGGCCAGTTTTTCCAAAAATTGAAAATTTTAGTTTTAGACCTTCTTTGGACCGAAATTGCGTCGAAACCATTGATGATGATGATACCACTACCACTACCACTACCACTACCACTACCACTACCACTACCACAACCACTACCACTACCACTACCACTACCACTACCACTACCACTACCACTACCACTACTACTACTACAATTACAATTTCATTACCTTTAAATTAGGCGCAGAGCGGGGTCTGTAAACCTCGTAGTTCTCTCAAAATCGCAAAAAAAAACATATAAGGTAAAATCACATTTTTCCAGAAATGTTCCATAACCTTTCTTATCTTTTGTTTTTTGGTTTGGTAATTAAAAAGAATTCATGAAATCATTTAAAAAAAAACGGTGAAATGTATTTTAATATATAATCATAATAGTCATCATAAGTAGTGAATCAAATTAGACACATAGTCAAATTCGTCGCCTTGTTTTTGATGGCCCTGGGCCATCACTTTCGTTGCTTCCTTCAATAGGTATGTCTTCCACTATTGGTGGGTCGCCGTCTTCGCCCCTATAGGTAGGTACTTCAGTATTGGTGGATCGTCAGGATTGTCTTGAGGCTCGTCATCGTCGTCCTCTTCAAAGATGATAAGTGCAGCGTTCTGACACGTTTCCCCAGAGCAGGTAGCACACATCATCTGAGCCCTGCTTTGAGGAAAGTGCAGCCACCTTTGCATCCCTTCTTGCATTTGCAAAAGAGGAGTTTTAGGAGCTCTGTGGGGACAGGAGTTTGCCGACTAGTAATGGGGATGAGTCCAGCCAAGGTCAATTCCCAACCCCAGTCAGTGGCCTCTTTCTCCACACCCAACCACTTTTGCACCTGGTGGTATGTGCGGTAGTGGTGATACGACGCAGCCTCTGTGGTTGGGGGCAAACGGGCCAGATTCGCTTTGGTGTCGGCTGCTGTCTTCCAAAAAGTATGGAAGCGTACATCGTTGAGGGTGTCTTTCGTTTCGTCTCCTCCATATAGGGCAACTAGGCACTTGTCACCGGCTGCTGCGACTTGTTGGTGTGTGGCACCTGTCTGAAGGAAAACTCTTGCTTGGTCCACTAGGGCTTGATTTTGTCTGAAGTGGCCCCACACTTTCACCTTCCCCTGCCAGAAGAGGGCAGAGGTGGTGGTGTCGCACCCAGTAAATGCGTGGATGAAAAGTTCAATTCCAGGTGGTAGCTCCACTTCCCCTTGGTTGAATGAGCTGGTTGAGAATTGGACGCAACCCGCCTCACCTCTGCCACTCTTCTGGAAGTATATGTTTGTTTTAATGGATCCTAGACCGCAGAGGAGCACGAGCAAATCCACATCATCTCCAAAGATAATGACGTGGTCATTGGAGGCACTTTTTTGCAGAGCAGTCACGACGATATCGCGGTCTGCGTCTTCTTTTGATATTTTTGTCTCAATCCCCTCGAGAGCAAAAGCAGAACAGAGAAGCTCAATGAGACGAACCTTGTTTTTGTCATTCGAGAGCATCTTCTCTTGGGGGACTGTGATGCGTCAAACACAATTTCCGCTGATGCTGCAGATCGTCGTGATCGCCTCCTATATCTGTACCTCAGAGCTAAACTGTATTAAGTGCCAAAAATGAAATTTTACAGGAGAGAGATTTAAAGATTTAAATTTTGCTTCGAAAGTGTCATGAGTGGGAGTTGTTACTGTTTAGCACGTAAAAGAGCATAAGAAACTGTGTTGGGCTGTCAAATAATCCCATTTTCGTAAAAAATGGAGTTAATACAGTTAAGCTCTGAGGTACAGATATGATCATAACACGTTTTGCATGTTTAAATCTCACTCCATGAAACAAAAAGTGGTTAGATACATTTCTGGAAAAATGTGATTTTACCTTATAGTTTTTTTTGCGATTTTGAGAGAACTACGTGGCTTACAGACTCCGCTCTGCGCCTAATTTAAATG